TTCTCTACAAGCAGCACATCTGTCCCTTTCTCTGCACTTACTGGGTGCCACTCAGGTCCTCATCCTTCCTCAGCCCATAGCAATACCCTCCTAAGCAGCCTCCCTGGGTCCAGTTGTTCTCCCACTCCAGTCTGTCCTCCATTCAGCATCAGAGTGATTTTCTTTTCTTTTCTTTTTTAGGCAATTGGGGTTAAATGACTTGCCCAGGGTCACACAGCTAGTAGGTGTCAAGTGTTTGGTCTGAGGTCAGATTGGAACTCAGGTCCTCCTGACTCCAGAGTCAGTGCTCTATCCACTGTGCCACCTAGCTGCCCACATCAGAGTGATTTTCCAAGAGAGTAGATCTGACCACATTGTTTTCATCCTTCTTAATAACTTCCAGTGGCTCCTTATCATCTCTATAATATCATCTATAGACCTCTGCTTAAATTCTTCACAGCCTGGGCTCCACTTACCTTTTTCATCTTCCAAAACTTTGCCCACCTTGCTGAATTCTAGAGTCTATCAGGGGTGGGGAACGTGTGGCCTTGGCCCACTAGGTCCTCAAGTGTGGCCTTTTGACTGAATCCACTGTGAGGTTGGGATCCAGTCAAAGGGCCACATTTGAGGACTGAGAGGGCTACATGTGGCCTTGGGTCCACATGTTCCCCACCCTTGGTCTAGCCATATAGGCCTGCCTTCTGTTCCTGGCTTTCTCCCCATGCTGGGAATGTTCTCAGTCAGTCAGTCAACAAGCATTTATTAAGCTCTAACTATGCTAGATCTTGTGGTAAGTGCTGGTGATACAAAGAAAAGCCTGAAGAAAAACAGTCCCTGCCCTCAAGGAGCTTACATTCTAATGGGAGAAGATAATGTATAAAAGGGAGCTGAAAAGCAGAGGGGAAACACCCACCTCTGGCCCAGTGGTGAAATTTGGAGAGTCAGAAGCTGAGCCAGGAGGGGGAGGAAGGCTGGCTGGCTGGTCTGGGGATCCTTCCTGTCAGCCAGTCAGTCAGCAAACATTTAAGTACTTTCTAAGGGCCAGGGATACAAAAAGAGGCAAAAACCAATCCCCACCCTTGAACAGTTCACAATCTAATGGTGGAGAAAAGCATAGGTATACACACAAACAAGATATATTTAGGATGGTAGGAAAGAAATAAAAAAGAGGGAGGGCACTGGAATTACAAAGTGTTGGAGAAGGCTTCCAGTTAAAGGAGAAGTGAGGGAGCTCATGGTGAATGGCCTCAATTTTTTCTGTAAAATTTGAGGCAAGGTTCTCAGCTGGCAGGTTAGGAGGAGGAGATGAAGGAGGTTTGAGGGGGGATGAAAAGGTTTGGAAGTGTCCCTGTGGAGAGAGGGAGAGTGAATTGAGAAGGGACGGGTAGAAGGATTGCCTTTCTCAAAATGGAGTTTCTGGGAGGAATTCACTGAGGGGAGAAAGGGGGTCTTGAGGCAGAAATATGTTCTTGGATGAGAAGGCTATAGGTGCTGAGGAAAGTCCCAGGGTGAGAAGACAGCTAGACCATGCTGGTGAAGTCCAGAGTCCAAATCAGGGCTGAAAAGCTGCTCCATCTCTGCCCCCTTCATTTCCTTTCCCAGGCTTCCTTCAACACTCAGATCAAATGCTTCCCTCTGCAGGAAACCTTTCCTGGTCTTTCTGGCCTTTTCCTCCAGGGTTATCAGGGGTCCACTTTGTAAGTATACTGCATATAGAGCATCTGTATGTACAGATGCTCTCTCTCCAGAAAATGTTTTGAGGGTGGAGATTATTTCTTTTTTTCCTTGTATCCCCAATGTTTAACACAGTGCTTGGCACATAGTAAACCCTTGACAAATCTTGTTGTTGAATACATGACAAGATTTTGAACTTGGATTCCTTGGAGAATATGGGTGTCCTCCACAGATCTTTGGAGGTAGGTGCCGAGTGATTCAGGAGGGGAGATAATGAGTTCAGTCTTAGCCATGTTTGCCATGAGGGACTGATAGGACATATAGGTGGAGATGTCCAATACGTAGAGATGTGGGACTGGAGCTTAGGAGGAAGACAAGGGCTGGATAGATAGATCAGGAATCATCTGGACAGAGATGCTAATCAAGAGCCTGGAGTAAAGGGAGCAAATGTCAGTGAGAAAATAGGACCTAGGACAGAGTCACTGACACCCAGGAAAAAGCAGGATGAAAGAAGGCAGAAGAGAGGGTATTCAGGAGGAGAGGGGAGGTCAACAATTAAAAAAAAAAAAGCAGTAACTGAGAATGGGCCTTAAGATGAAGTGATGAACATGTCGAGAGAGTAGTTTCAGTCAAGTGGTGGAATCAGAGATGCCAGATTACAAGGGACTAAGGTGGAAAAGACAAGGAGAAAGCCAATATAGGCCACTTTTTATAGGCAGTTAACAGTGAAAGGCAGGAGAGATCTAGGAGAACTTGCTGGGGATGTTTTTGTCTGTTCATCTTTCAAAGAAATAGACCTGGGCAGTAGATAGGAGGAACCCTCCCATTAGAATGTGTACTCTGCCCTAGAGACACAGCTCAGAGAGGTGAGCCTTCACATTAGCTTGCCCAGAACCAGGACCTCTGCTCCACTTTCTATGTTGTCTTCCTAGCACACGTTAAAAGCTCAATAAATTCTTTTTCATCAATTTACTCAGGATTGAGTGAATGATGGAACACACTAACAGAAGAAGCAGGACAAGATAGGATCAAAGCCACAAGGAAAATGGTTAGCTTTGGAAATGATAGTCAGCTAGCATTTATGAAGCATATTCCATGTGCCAGGCACTGTGCTAAACACTGGGATAGACTAGGTGGAGATGGAAAGAGGTTTGGAAGTGTAGAGTTAGGGTATTGATGGAAGGTCACATTTTCTCAGCAAAATAGGAGTGTGGATGGGGGTGACTTTGTAGGCGTAAAGAGAGAGTGGTATGTGATAGTCAAATACAAAGAAAAAGAGCATCATATAATGAAGATCCAGTTGAAGTTGGATAACATGAATTTGAAGTAGTCCCAGTCCTGTTTCTTGACTTTTGCCAGGAGTTTTCAGGAACTTGGGAACAAGGATAGAGAAGGTATATAGTAAGGGTGACCCAGAGCCAAGGGTTGGTAAGACATGAAGAGAGGAAGGACATGGTGGCCAGAGTCAAGGCTGGAGGATAAGTACTCTCTAAGCTCAAGGTTGTGAAAAGAAGAAAGTCTGGCCTATTTTTTACAGATTTCGATCTGGAAAGGACTCTGGAGATCATGTAGTTTAAGTAAGGTGAGAGCAGGGGCATTGGACTGGGAGGGATTGAGGAATCAGAGGGTGAGGTGAGAATGGAGAGGGTCAGGAGGAGTGAGGATGTGGTCCAGGTGGAAGGACAGGGTGTAGAAATCCACCAGATCATGGAGGTAATTTAGTGTGGGGTGAGAGAGTGAGCTCTAAAGTATGACTACGTGGATAGAGCACCGGCCCTGAAGTCAGGAGGACCTGAGTTCAAATCCGGCCTCAGCCCAAACACTTGTCACTAACTAGCTGTGTGACCCTGGGCAAGTCACTTAACCCCAATTGCCCCCCCCCAAAAAATAAATAAATAAAATAAAGTATGACCAGCTTGTGAGACTTGGAATATGAAGATGGAAGTCACTCATGGGAGTTCAGATTGATGGATGGGGAGGTCAAGATATTCCAAACATGGTTTTCTATTAGATTGTCAGCTCCTTGAGGGCAGGTACTATTCTTCGCTTCTTTTTGTATCTCCGCCACTTACCACAGGGTATAGTAGGTGCTTAATAAATGTTTATTGATTGATTAAAACATCAAGATTACCATGATTATTATGCAATCCTGGAGCCATCAAAATATGACAAAACCCATGGAAGACTAATTTGTCAATATGTCAGTGACTTTCTTTTGTACACTAATATTCTTTACTGTCTAAAAATGTTTGATCCTTCCTATATGTACCAAAATATTGATAGCAGCTCTTTTGTGGTGGCAAAGAATTGGAAGTTGAAGAAATACCCATCCATTGGGGAATGGCTGAACAAGTTGTGGTATATGATTGTGATGGAATACTACTGTGATATAAGAAATGATGAGCAGGAGGATTTCACCTGGGAAGACTTAACCGAACTGATCTAAGTGAAGTGAGCACAACGAGGAGAACATTGTACACAGTAACAGCAACATTGTAACAATGATCAACCGCAAATGACTTAGCTATTCTCAGCAACACAATGATCCAAGGCAATTCCAGAGGACTCATGATGAAAAATGCTATCTGCCTCCAGAGCAAGAAATGATGGAGTCTGAATGCAGATCAAACCATGCTTTTTAAAACTTTCTTTTTCTTTCTTTTTTTTCTTTTTTGCAACAAAAAGAAAAATTCCATTTTCCAAAAAGAAAATTTCCATTTTGCTAATATGGAAATATCTTACATGACTGCACATGTGTAACATATCGAATCGCTTGCCTTCTCAAGGAGGAAGGAGAGAATTTGGAACTCAAAATTAAAAAAAAAACCCAAATATTAAAAATTGCTGACACGTAACTGAGAAACAAAAATCTAAAAAAAGTAAACTTTCTGGTCCTTGAGAGTTGTATCAGGCCCAGACAGATTAAGCGACTTTAGCTTTGGGCCTAAGTGTAGTCTTGGTGGCCACCTTCGATCCCAGGTCTCAGGACCCAAGTCCAACACTGCATTCATACCTCTCATATAAAACAATATGGAAGGCGGAAAACAGGAATAGGAACACGCAAACATATTTGCTACAGCCATGTATTTAAATGCATATGTGTTTGTACATGTAACAATATGTAATCATAAAAATCAGAATGGAATATAGGGTGGCCATAGGTTTAAAACTGAAAGAGAAATCAGAGGTCAACTAATCCAATGCCCTTAT